GTTATTGTTATAAATTCAAAATTGATTCATCCATTACGTAGGTACTTACATAATCTTATGTCATGGTAATATGGTATAGACGTATAGTAAAAGGTATAATATAATGCATGAACCCATTTATAAGAAATAATATCAATTCTATATACGAAGAGGGATATTCAAAAAGTGTTATAACTTTAGTAACTATATATATTAACAACTGAAAACATTTCAAAGAGGTTTCCAGATCTCACTGACACTCTTTCAATGTCTTGGAAATCATTCAGTTACTATATAAATATAAAAACATTTCGCAATATAAACTCCATTTATATTTATAATCCGATTCTCATAAAGAAAATTATGACTATATAAGTGTATATACCTATATAATAGTCTAGACTGAGATAGCCCACAGGGGGTATCTGGATACCGGGAAATAACCCGGTGGTCCGTGATCCGATTTTGGAAATTAAATACAGTGTAGCTTGGTTGCAAATAAACTAAAAAAATATTACATACCTACCTAATATTTACACAAGACCCTGTAAGTTACTATACGAGTATACATATATTGTAACAGTTGCTTTTCTGCATATTGCATACCTAATTGTTTTATATCACCAGGGTGTACTTACAATTACCTATTATCAGTATTCATACTTATAATATTATGATAGTTATTACTTATTATGTTCGATGTTACTACGATTTCACATTTCGAATTTTGATTCTATATGTAGGTATATATATACGATATTAAAAAAAATATTTGAGTAAAATTACAATATGTATGACGTAAGTGGTAATAGTGTAATACACTAATAACATGAATGTTTTTCTTTTTAAAATATTAATCATACATTTTAATAACTTCAATTTTCGTTTTATCCATTACAAATTACAATAGAATAACTCGGAAGTATTATTTGTAGGCTATAACTACCTCTTACAATTCCAAAGCAGAGTTAACAATTTTAATGATGGTGTTGAAAGAAGTTTGCTTATCAAACGTACGAAGCTGTTGCCAATGCAAATTTTTAAAGTAATGTCAAAAAAAATACGTTGATTACACAATTAATATCGATCAGATACCTGCATATTATATTTATCGATAGTCCATATAGATGCTGGAGACTTACAGGACAAGGAACCTCTTAGTAAGGAAGAATCTGATATTAAATTGGTAATTGTAAACGTCGAACGGTAATAATAACGGTTAATCAATTTGGTTGGTGGTAGGGGGACTTAATTATTATTCTAAACTGCAGTAGGTACCTATATAGATCGTCATTGGTCTATATTTACTGTACCCAATCTGTCCCAACTTCCAACTAAATTTTTTTAACCTAAACAATAATTTATATAGGTGTACTTATTATTTATGATAAAAAAAAAATGTAGGTACTATATTATACAATTGTACAGTCAATTGTAACTGAAAATCAATTTATTTTATATATATAAATATTTTTCAATATTATTAGAGTTAATAATAGTTTAATTAATAGTTTAGATTATTTATTAACTACTGCCGAAGTTATTTAAATTACATACCTATCTCAACTATCATAATATTATGCACGCGATATAATAATATTGAATACATATAGGTATCCTGTATCATATACATAGTATAATATAATATTATATACCGTCGTGGACCGTGGTGGTGGGGAGTTTTTATTGTATGGATGAGGTGACTGCGAAAGTGTGAACTAACATTAGGAAGTTTCAGAAAATGTGTTTTTGAAATAGCCAAAGTATACCTACTATTATAGTAATATAATATGTAATATAATTTGGTATGGACGGATAGGTATTTTATTTTTTTACCAGAATATATGTATTATGGCTCAATACTTTTTATAATAAATCTCATAATTAGCTAGGGCTTGGATTTCGATGAACTTTGCATTGTTTTCCCAATCTTGATTATGTGATGCTCGTTTTATAATATTTATATGTTTCATGTATTTATTTATCGGAATAAGGATTCTTTTTTGCATTTTTTTAGAGCATTCTATGGTTTCAAAGACATTTACACTAAAATCTATTTTGTCAAAAACTGGTTTTGTGTAAATTCTCGGCTTTTTCTCAATTTTTTCCTCAGAACTTGAAAACTGTGGGGAATTTTTTACTTTTTACCTCCCAAAGTACCGAATAGATTCACTTTCCTATTAGAAAAAATGCTGAAGTAGAAAATTAAACCATTTTCACCCCAAAATATGATGAGACATAACAAAAATACAAATCATTATAAAACCAATACATTAACCACTCCACTCAGAATCTAAAATAAAAAATACATTCTTAATGATATTACCTATTTGAGTACCAGAGGTATTCAATTATTTTTCTTAAACTTTTTAATTTCACAGTTCCTTCGTTAGGTACATCACAACTTGTTGATGGCTCTCAAATTATTAAGGACCCAGAAAGGAAATTTCTGTCGAGTGGTGCCAATAAAGTTTGGATACCTAAGTGATTCGAGTGACATAAACTTAGATATACACCGATCCCATGTATCACAAACGTAGTCGACTGGGGTAAAATGTTATACATTGATTTAATTCTGAATGTATGCTGAATCTATAATCTATATGTATATATTATACATCAAGTAAAACTTCACTCGGAATTTACCTCCAGGTGAAACAATGAGCAGCTAATAATTTAAATGGTGCAAATGATACACCGCGTCACCGAACTAGGTAGGTCATAGTATAGGTCATCAGAGTCACGCTGTATTTGTGTATTACCTATTCACGCGGTGTGACCTTTTCATCGTCAAGCACTTTTAAATTGTAGTACGCTGCCAAGTACCAATCCAAGATAATTTTTTTTTTCAAATGTTGACATGTTTTTCAACCCATTCAATGAATTACCAAATTATTAATTATACAAGCAAAAAAAAAAAATAATTACTTAATTTGCTAATTAGTTCTAACCATTTTTTTTTACTATTCAGCCAGGGTTTCTCAACATTTATTGATTCCTGAGTAATGAGTTCAATATAATATTATAACACATGTCTAATAAATTGCTAAAGCCTAAAATTATAATATTTTGGTGTACCTAGTACCTGGATAAAAGAAAATGCATTCAATTTCTTTGGATATGATCATACTATGTTTATTTTTGAGTAGTTTGTTCGTTTTTGGAAATACTATTAATTAGCTGTTATAATTTTTATTTTTGTCAGGTTATCAGATTTTAATATAAATGAGTGAACGCTCTAATATGATACGCATTAATGGCAATTAAAGTAAAAATAAATATATAATATTACATATTGTATTTTGTATTTCACGTTCATGTCTTACTAGTAGGGGTGGTGATAATAGTAGTAAATAGTAATAATTACCTATTAGTACTATTATCATTATACAATTTAAAATTAATATTCTTTAAATTAAGATGGAATTTGAAAGCGTATCCCAGAATTGACTTTTTTATACTATATTTTAATCAAATAATTACCACATTTAACTCGAAAATCAATGATTTATAAAAATATATGTTATAACTTATAACTTATAGCCATGTGTCTTGCAATATACCTATACTATAACTAGGTCATTAATCGGAAGTTCAAGTTCATAAAGTTTATTGAATTACTTCCTCACAAATTTTGGAAAATGTAAGAGCTTTATGACACATGCCCATATATACGGCATAAAACTAGTAAATCGTAAATGTGTATGAATTGTACAGTGTATGTACTATGTACCTACATTAAACTGTTCAGTGAATAATGATGTATTATATTGTAATTTTTATTCATTCAAATTTGTATTTATAAAAATATAATCAATTATAGGTATTTTATGTGACGGGATTTTCATCAAACTATTTTCAAATCACTATCTATCATATACATATTCAGATATTCTATTAATTTTTATTCAAACGTTTTACGAGGCGCGAAGAAAGTGTTTTTATATTATCTGAATTATATTATAATTAATTATAATTACTTCTTAAACGTTATTTTAATAGACAATATAAGTTATAACTGTATATACCGCCAATCACAATTTATTGAACGGTCTTAATTATATGATCCGACTGAGATTATCACGTGTTAGTGGTCTTAATTTCCACGAATCGATTACGATTTTCGTATGACATTAATATAATAATTATCATTTTTCTGTAAATGGTTTCATCATCCCACGATGATTAACTATTCTCATATCGCCACGTTATAATACCCAGTCAAATTATTGCAATACTTAAATACTACAACAGATACTGTTAAAAATAATACTATTTTATACTCGTCATGAGTGTAAAATGTGTAATGTGTGTGCTTGTGCAGACTTGTTGTAGTGGGATCTATACGACAATGCGTATGTTATCTCGCTATACGCGTAGCATAGATTATTAATTGCTGTCGAACGTGAGATGCGATTAATCCCTGGGGCAAATAATCGTCGAAAAACGATCGAAGAAAGATTATCGCCATGTAGTGGTGACGCCTATGTAGTATACATAATAATATAGTGGAAGTAGAAGTGGTGGTGGGACAACAGTACCTACAAAAAAAAACCATTTTATTTATCCTCCTCCTCCGGGAAACCTATATAATATTATATTATACTACATTATATTGTGACGACTCAGCAGTTCCAACACACACACACACACACACACACACACACACACACACACACACACACACATCGGACGGTTATTTTTCAACCGGTTCGGTTAGGTTAGTTCGATCGTTCGTTCATTCAGTCGGTGTCACTACGGCCACGCGCTCGTCGAACCGCACCACGACCGTCGTCGGATATCAATTCTTATAACAACAATAAAATATTATTTTCGTATTTCGTGGATTCAACCAATATTGCCGTTCGTCCGCGTCTACAAATTTGTTCGTCTTCTCTCTTCCGTACCAATAATATAGCAGGTAACACACCCTGCACCTAACCCACTTCAGTTTATTGGAAGCGCCTGTGTATATACCGATCTGTACAATCATACATGTATACTTAATTATAGGACATAATATGGCGCAGTCTTCGTTGAAGCAAGTGATCAACTTCGGAGCTGGACCGGCCAAGATCCCCAAACAGGTACTTAGGTTGACATTATACACGTTACGGAAAACGTATGTTTTTACAAAGGGTGATTCTCCAGTCACGAAACAGTAATGTTCTTGGTAACTTTACGTTTTTATGAAAAAAGTTAATTAATTAATTAATATTTTGAATTTTGAAATCATTATAACATAGCGTTTTAGAAAAAAAATTATAATACTATTTTACTACTTCTTATCGATATAATTTTTCATTTTTTTCATTTTTCAAATGTCCGTCGGCTTTCTGGGTACCTCTGTAAGACTCCACTCATTTAAAATGTAAATGGTTATAATAGCCAAAAACACTAGATAATTTAATACAAGGTTTCTCATATATTGTTATTCGTGTAATTTAAAAAGTTGAGCGTAAATTCATAATACTTACATATATTTTTATCGTCAAATTTACGAACATTTTCAAATCATTTTGAGTTAGAAATTCATAAAAAATTGTCTTTTTACATCTATGATTTAAAAATAGAATACAAAATTCCTTATAAGTTTTCACCTTAAATAAAAAAAATTTACAGGAAAGTCAAATTAATTTTTTATAAGCGTTTGATATTCAAAATTAATTTCGATGCCTACCAGTAAACTAACTACTTCTCATGGAACGAATTCCTTTTTTTATTGTTATTCAAAACAATTCACCGCAAGTACTTGAAATGCTGTCCAAATGGCACATATTTATATTAACCTTTTTTATACATGGTATCGGGTAGTTTATAAAATATTTAAATATTTTTTGAGCTATTAATAGACATTTGCATTTTTTTAGATTTTGTTCTATAATTATCGATAAAAAATATGTCGAACAGATTGAAAATTTAATCCAAGGTTTCCCATAAGTTTGTATATCAGTTAAAAAACATTAAAGATACGAAGGTATGAATTTTTTGTAAGCATTTAAAGTTCAAAATTTTTACAAAATTGTAAATTGACCCACTAGGCCTACTGCAGTGCATGTACAGTAAAGTGGACCCACTTGCCCACATTTTTTCTATTTAACTTGTAACTTTTACAAATTAAAACAATTCAATTAAGTTTTGACTTAATTCTTAACTACATTTTTCTATATTAAGTTAACTTGATGATTAAGTTAAATTATTAACTTACCCAGCCTTCTTGTTTTTTTAATAAAAGATAAAGCAATCACTCGGTGTCCCCGTATAATATTATATTTTCCCACGTGAGCTGCAAATACCGAATACGCACCCCGTCTGACAGTAGGGAAAGTAGTTGTACGAAAGTTGCATTTTTATTTCCGAATTTAGGTCCTAGAACAGGTTAAAGATGAACTCTTGGATTGTGGTTGCGGTATTAGCGTTATGGAACTCAGTCACCGGTCATCCGAGTACACAGCCATCAACAACCGAGCTATTGACTTGTACAGAGAACTACTGTAAATATAAACCTTATGTTATTACTTATTAATTATTATTTTTATATTATTCATAGTTTCGCACGGTTTGCTGGTTATGAAAACATGAACTATAATTTATTTTTGTTTATCAGAATATTTTAAATAACGTAGATACATTAGGCTAGTTTCACAGCCACGAGTATAATATATCAAGTGTTAACGAATGGGTTTAATAAGGTACTGATGTCTGATTTCATTGCGTCATTGTGGGCTTAACCATGTGATTAAGTATAAGTTATCTTCGTGAAGAAATAAATTAATATAGTCAAAAGTAAACAATTTCCAATAGTTTTCAAAAGCGCCGGTGAAAAAATAAAAATAAGGAAAACCGGAGATTTTTACGCAAATCCAGTTTTCAACAAAATCAATTTCGATTTTTGGTGTAACTAAAAAAGAAAAAATAACCTTATATTTATGAAATTTTCACCGAATATATATTTATACTAGCATTTTTGTACATCATACAATTTAAATTGACTCTTTTTAAGTTATTTATTGGCATAAGAAAATTTCGATTTTTAATAGTTTTTTAAAAGAACCATTGTTAATAATGCATTTTTTTTCCGCAAAATTGATTTCATCTACTGTAATACATACTGTACTACCTACTGTTGTCTAATAAATTACTTTAATCACAATAATATAATAAAATATGCTTATTAATATCGTAGGCTGAAAGACCGTTTGGAGTCTTCGCTCAGAATCGTTTTTCGTTTACCAATGATTTTATATCATTGAATTCAAATTTAACACATCAATTACAATGATTTCTCTAGACACCTAGGTACACTAGGGAAGCGTTACCCACTTAACCACTTTTTTTAGTAACTATTTAAAAACACAGAAATAGTAAAAAATCTGAGTTATGCTAGATATATTATTCAGTGATTTAGGTATTAAATAGATAATATAGTTTTTAATAATTATTCTATCACCTAAAATAATGTTAAATATACCTACACAAATATAAGTCATGAGTTAGTAGTAATACAGCGAGTATCCTAATACTAATATAATATTATAAATTCATTAAATGCAATGAATACTTACATCATAAATTAATATAACGTTAAAAAAAATTATGACAGTATATTATAGTAAATAGTAAATATATATTATATCTATTTGTTTAATATGTATTTAACACCTATAATTATGATGGCTTATGAACTGTTATCATGGTATTTAAAAATCTATACATATCGTCTTAATAGAGATTATTACAATTATATAAGTATATAATTACAAGTTACAATCCACCAAAAATGTTTGTACAAAAAGTTCTCTGTTTGTCCCAAAAAATTTTGGTTTTATCTACACGGATATATGAATTAATAAATTATATTTTTAAGAAGGCTATTTTTTAAACTTTCAATAAGTCTTAAATACAATATAGTCGAACAACTGTAAAATAAGAGAAGATTTAATTACGGGCACGACTGTTTTCCACGATATTGATTTAGGTTATTTTATTATAATTCTATTATAAAAACGAAACTTTAGATTTCATCAATTTTTATTATTTTTAATTTCAATGAAGTTATTTTTATATTAGTACTTATTATAGCTCTAATTATGAATAAAAAAGAATTGCTAAATTATAGGTTCAGAGTTTTTAGTAATATTGTTTCAATATTTAGTTTGAATCATTGAAATTTCGATAAATCTATAACAATACATTTTAAATTTTGGGCGATGAATTGAGCTAAAATGAGCTGTTGGTTTTATATCGATGTGTATGTTTTTTTCGTTTGGAGCTATACAATTATTAAATCTTATACGTTGGAGTTGGTCTCTGCCCTCTGGTAATAAAATAAATCTAAATTGAGGTTTTTGATTTTGTCAAAATATTTTTAATATTATAATTTATTTGGAAAATAACAAATTACAATATATTACTATATTAGAACGTTTGTTTCTACGATTAATATTTTTTTGAATTTCAACATAATAATTGGGTAAATATCTAATAATTTGAACTTTATATGTCCATCAAAGAAATTATGATTATTTATTTACGATTTTTTTAAATTGCTATTTATTTAACAACATCGTTTTTGCTAATACTGATGATACATTGATATTTCCATTTCTTTGTTTTTTAATAGTATTCCCAGACCCCAGTTATTAGAAAAAATACCTATTAAAAATATAATATAATATATAAATTATTTATACTAATAAAGAATATAATAATTTTTTAAATTTGAACCTCAAAAGTACCAACTATACAAATTTGTTGACAGAAACCACACTCAATGTAGAACATTATAATGTATTTTTTTGTTTCGAAAGTGTCGTAAGAAATAACATCATCGTAATACATTCCTAGATCCGCTTCTTGTAGTACAATAAAAAAATAAATATATCTGTAATACATTTTTAAAATCTAATTTACATATTTCATTAGGTAATTTTTATGATGAAAATATATTTTAAATATATAAAACTAATTTATGTCAGTGTGCCTATACTAGCTAACATTATTTAAAACATAAAAATGTTTCTAAACCGTAGTAGGTACTAGGTACCTACTATATTATATAATAACTAACATGAATGTTTGAGAAAATTTTCAAAAATAAGAAAATTGGAAATACCTACTTATTCTTACTCTTACTCTTATTAGCAAATTGATTTTTTTTTATCACTCAAATAACTACTCGCTCTACTACTTTTTCAACTATACCTTTCTTAATAATTATGAGATAAAAATTAAACTTCATCTTACACACTAATTGAAGTGATTTACCATACCAATAAATCATATTTTATTATTTATATACCTACAACTTCATTGAAACATTTTGTGACGGTGATTATATTTCCTTAAATATTTTTGCAAAATGTTATATAATTCATTATTATATAACTAATTTAGGGCGGTTCTTACTTGTAGGAGAAGGAAAAAAGTAATTTTTTCATGCAGAACTTCTCGATTTTATTCGTTATCATGAAAAATTAATTTGTGTTAAATTTTGTCATGATGACTTACCTCCCTCCAATGTCGCAAGAAGGATTAAAAAGTTAATAATTAACTATGTTGTTTATTTTAATGGAAGTTTAAATATGCGCATTATTTTCTTTGGCAGCAATAAATACATTTTTTAAATATTACCAAAACTATGTCTTAATTTACAATTAATTATTTATACCGAATTGTTATTACCTAAGTAATCTCATATTATCAATTTTACATATAGTTTATATAAAAATTTAATATTACAGTGACATCCCAGAAAACTATAAAATATTATTGATGCAAGGAGGAGGAACCGGTGCTTTTGCTTCAGTAGCGTTGAACTTATTGCACAGAGGTGCAAAAGCTGACTACATTTTGACAGGTTATTGATTTAATTTCAATTTTATGAATATATGTTTATAATCTCTGATATTTTCTTCGACAGGCGTTTGGTCCACTAAAGCTGCTAAAGAAGCGTCTAAATACTTAAAAGTAAATCATGTGTTTCCAAAACCGGAGAAATTTAATGGTATTCCCGATCAATCTACATGGAAACTAGACCCAGAAGCTGCATACGTGTATTATTGTGATAATGAAACCGTGAACGGTAAACATTTATTATTTATTTTGTAATATATATTGTACGTTTTTGGTTATTTGTTTTGGTTCGGTGGATTAATAACAAGTTACTTATTTCAATCGAGCATTATTAATATTTACGCACATTTGAAATGAATCTGTAATTAGCTTAACGAATTATGCATACAATCATATTTTATTAAAATTATAGGTTAATTTGTAACTTTAATTTTGAGAAATAAAGTCTAAAATAAATGTTTTTTTTAAACTTCCATAGGAGTTGAATTTCCTTTCATTCCCGAGACAAATGGTGTACCATTGGTATGTGACATGTCATCCAACATTATGACGAAGGTATTTGACGTGACCAAGGTAAATTACTTCGATATATGTAATTGAATACGACAGTGTTATTTTTTTCAATGATGATGTATTACCTTTTCGATTGAAGACACGTAATCCTATTAATTTTGTCATTTCACTTAAAGTTTGGTGTGGTGATAGCTTGTGCGCAGAAAAACCTCGGTCCCGCGGGTATAACTGCAATTATTATACGTGAAGACCTTCTAGGAAAACCGAGCCCGCTTTGCCCACAAGTTTTCGACTACACATTGTTCACTCAAGAAAATTCATTGCTTAACACACCTCCAACATTTATGTAAGTTTGTTAATTTTGAGCATGTTTATATGAAAATATTTTTTATAATTTCAACGATTCGAATAGAGTTTATATTTTTTCGCTCGTATTACAATGGGTGAAAAATCAAGGAGGACTTGTTGCTATGGAAGCTAACTCAAAGGCAAAAAGCGAACTTTTATACAATGTCATAGAAAACTCTCGAGGCTTTTATTCATGTCCGGTGGCTAAGGACTCCAGAAGCCGCATAACCGTTCCGTTCTGCCTTGGTGCAGGAGCTGAGGCTGACAAGCAGTTTCTAAAAGAAGCACAAGACTTAGGGTTTTTACAGCTTAAAGGACACAGGTATTCATATTATACCAATGTATTTGTGTTTCATATTGTTTCAGTGAGATTATAAGCAACTCATTAATTATTTGTTTGTTTACAGATTGGTGGGAGGTGTTCGAGCAGCCATGTATAATGCCATGACTTTAGACGAAGTAACAATTCTAGTTGAATTTATGACTAAGTTCCATGAACGAAATCCACAATATTCCGCTTAAAAAGAATTAAACTATTCAATACCTATTATATATTCTTTGTTTTTGTTTTATTTGCTTTGTAAACATCTGGGAGAGAATGAGAAATTAGTCATCAAATTACAGTTCCTTCAAACAGAAAATATAAAAACAGTATTTCTATTTTGGAAATCTGATCGTCAAATGTTAGTTTGTTTTGAAGTAATTGTATACCACGAGATTGAGTTTTAGTACTTTGACAGTACAAAACAAATCTGATATATATATATTATATTGTGTACCTTTTTGATTTGCTTTTCATTGACAAACAAACAAATATACAGTTTTCTAAGCGAGAGAGACGAACAATGAAGAAGTGGGAGTGAGAAAAAGAGAGCTTTTAACGAAATAGGATATTTTATTATTACCGAGGAGGTCGAAAGGATAAATCAATGTCACGGACGGGTAGCGCCCAGATAACGGAATAAATTAGCGTTCAGTTCTCTCAAAAACACGATTTTCAACAGGAGGCCAACGTGGGACTAAAATAATGAATTTATAGACTTACTTGAAACCCTGAAACCTTGAAACTTGAGGACACACGCAAAAACATACATAATCATATTATTGATCAATATTTTCCATTTTGATATCAGTCTTAAGCTCTAACACTAACACCAAACATCGTCTTTTCTATTTGAAGAATTATAAAAATGGATATCGTTGAATTTAAATTTTTTTCTATTGGACCATGAGACATGCGTCTACCTTAGACTTTTTTCAAAAGCATAGTATTAGTTTGTATAAGAATGTAATGAGTGGTCAGTAGTCACACTTAAAATTTAATCTGTAAAAGTTATAATCTATTCAAACAAATTATACATTTTAATATTAACATTTTTAGTTATGTTAAATTTAGTTTAAAGTCAATTGTTATACATCAATCTATTACAAATATATATTATTTTAAATAATCATTTTAGATAAATCTGAAGGTATTAACTCCAGAAAATCTCAGTAATTTGTAAATTAAATATGTCGTAAACAATTTTCCGGAAATTATTCAGTTTTATTTTTAATAATATATAGATTCAACTGTACCTAATAGCTTATATAGGTATTTGATTTAGATGAATATAGCATTGAACTATATAAATTAAAACTGCACAGGTTATATTTATAAATCGAGAATTTCTGATTGTATATAATTTTTTTCCCTACTATACTCCAGACTAAAATATTCTATGCGTATAAATGTATAATCATTAGTTACATATAATATATATCCATAATTTATGGATATGAAAAAAGCGTATTGTTATTCATATTTATATTTCTATGTGGGTATATGAGTAAAATCAGTGTAGTAAATTTAAACACATTTAATTTAAATTGTTGGTAAACCTTTCTATAGTTTAAGTCTTTTAGAAATCTTCTTTTTAGAATTTAAATTCATTAAAACTGATGTAGGTATTATCTGGCATCTTCAGAAGTTTAAAACAAATGTTTAATAGTTATAATCATTAAATTATAAAAAATACTATTTGCCGTTTATACTTGACTAATAAATATTTTATTTTAAGTTCACCTCCATAACAAAAAATTTAATTCCAAACAATGGATTGAAATAAGTTTTTATGTATAGTGTGTATTTTATTCATTCCGATGGTTCAAACATCATCGAAAAGTGCACCCATTTTATTACTTCAGAAAATAAAAAAAAGTCTGAAGAAAATTTCAATTGAATAGTCTATATTATATATAGATGATTTATCTACAAAGCACACAACAATACCGTGAAACTATTTATTTAGGCATACAAACAAAAATGAAAAGACAGTGGTCTTCACTATACGTGCAATCCAATGACATTTTTTTCTGTTAGGACCTCAGTAAAGCATAGATAGTAGAACATCGCTTTTTGTAGAAATATTTCGCTGGGCCAATATTTTACGACCATCACGATTTGTGGGTATCAATAACGTATAATGTCTTTTATAAAATATATTCAATTATAAATGTATACTAGTTGATTGCTATTCTAGGTGAATATGTCCATGTGTTTTTTTCATGTATGGGCTAGGTACCAACATAATAATAATATATTATGTATTATACATATTGCATACGACATATACCTAACCTTTTGCTTTACCGATATGTTTCTAATTTTGTAATAACAGAACCATCATAATATAATATGTAGGTATATTAAAAGTATTAAATCATGTGGATAAAAATTGTATTCGTATTAAGCTGTATTCATTCTTGGTATAGGTATTTATTTTAGATCTACATTGAACATAGGTACCTAATAGATAGATAGTAGATACTTAGTGCGTACTGCGTATTAGTATAATCTGATGTTTTATTTTTGTATGTTATCATAGGCGTGCGCACGGGTAGGGCTGATGGGTGCGACTCGTTTGCGCACATTTACCTTTTTTACGGCACGTTTGCGCACAAAATCACAACTCGTTTGCGCAAACATATTTTGGGTTTAAATTATAAAGGTACAACTCATTTGCGCACATTTAACTTTGAGCAGAACAGCACATTTCCCTTCTTACTTTAATATAGGCTTAGGACCATCTGTTTTGTACAGGCGTGATTAAAAAAGTGCATGTCGTGTGTGTCTGTTCTGAATAAATATATAATTGTACAATTAATAAGAAGTAATAGAAGTTCTATGCGTGTTTGTCATTTTTAAAAATTTATTTAATTTATTTTAAATTGAACACTTATTATTTCAAAAAGTGTAATTGTTTTTGAAAATATTTTTTTACATAGTTTCGAGTCGTTCACAAAACAACTTTGTTATTAAAAAATTATCCTTCTTTTTTTTTTTTTTTTTTTATTTTTATAATTTTTATTTACAATCTGTTACAATAAAAATATGAACCATAAGTAAAATAGATAATTGAATGAATAAGTGGCTTGAGGAAAGGACGGATTTAAGAAGCCTTCCAGTGAAGACACTTTGTCAGCTGTTTATATACATTTAAATAAGTTAACAATTATTTATAAATAGAAAAAGATTAGGTAATTAACTAAATTAATAGGTCCCGACACCACCGCCTTTTTAGTCTTTTCCTAGGATTGTCGGGTATGTTTGCCGACGCAAGTCCTTTAATTAGGGGATTATCATGGTTTTTAACAGATAAGTTAAATCGTCTATAAAAAGTTCTAGCTACATCACAGACGGGTGAGATGGCAAGATCGTTATGTAAGGTCTGGTTGGACACGTAGAATGGTGCTTTAGTTATGGCTCGGAGCGTTTTGGATTGGAAGCGTTGGATACGGTTAGTGTTTGAAATTTTTGCAGAGCCCCATAATTGAATTCCGTACGTCCACATTGGTTTAAGATAAAGTTTATATATTAGAAGCTTGGTTGGTAGTTTTATGTGTTTGGAGGTTAGGAGAGAGCGGAGAAGACGAAATCGATTGTTTAAGGATAGCAGTTTGCTGCGAAGATGAGGAGACCATGTGAGGCGTTGATCAATGATTATGCCTAGATAGCGAGTGCTCTGCGCGGTTGGCAAGATTTGCTCATTTAAGGTAATAGATGGGCATATTCCCTTCCTAAGAGTGAAGGTACATTGTATAGATTTAGATTCGTTTATTTTCACACCCCACTCCTTATACCATTTTTCGAGGAGGGATAGGTGTTCTTGGATATGCGAGGAAGCAATGGATGGATCATGGCTATTGGTTAAAATAGCTTTGTCATCGGCAAAGTCAGCGATGAGGCTAGTGGGCAGCGTGGGTTGATCAGATACGAATATATTAAATAACAGAGGAGCAGTGACTGCGCCCTGGGGGACTCCTGCATTTATGGGTTTTGGTGAGGAGTTAGATGAACCATAACGTACCGAGAAGAAACGATCTTCTAGGTAGGACTTGAGTATAAGATAATAAGTAGACGGTAGGATGAGTTTCAGCTTAAATAAAAGGCCTGCGTGCCAGACTCGGTCAAAGGCTTGAGAAACGTCAAGGAAGGCCCCAGTGCAATATTGTTTTTCTTCTAGAGAAAATGATATTTTATCTACTATACGGTGAATTTGATGTATCGTGGAGTGTTTGGTACGAAAACCAAACTGAGAGTCAGGTAAGACTTTGGATTCAGCGATAATGTTTAAGATTCTTTTTAATAATATTTTTTCAAACACTTTCGACAGTATTGGAAGCAGGCTAATAGGTCTATATGATGTTGGACAGTCGGGTGGTTTTTTTGGTTTGAGAATGAGTATGATAGTGGAAAACTTCCATAATATAGGGAAGTAAGATAATCGGAGCATTGAGTTAAATATATAGGTGAGAAGTACGATAACTTTTTTTGGAAGCTGGTTGAGTATTTCAGAAGTTATTAGATCATAGCCAGGAGACTTTTTCCTGGGGAGTTTAGATATTATATAGCGAATTTCAGCAGGAGATATGTGCTTCGGTGGGAGGGACATTTGTAGTGGTGAGTTGAGAAATTGTTCAACTATATTAATTTTTTCCGGAAGGAGAATGGTATTGTGAGGTTGAAAAGTATCAGCGAGATGGTTTGCGAATATGTTAGCTTTCTCCTCATCAGAGTGTGCCCAGTTTCCATTTGCATTGCGCAGGGTGGCTGGGGGATTTCGTATACGAAGAAGTTGTTTGGTAGCTTTCCAGAGAGAACCGTCCTTAGTCGTAAGTGATTCTAAGTGGTTAGTATAAGATTTGTTTCTATAGTTTGCTAGGGTCCGTTTGAGTTTTTGGGCAAGCATATTGTAGTGGGATTTATCAGTGGGATATTTTGATCTTTGCCATAGGCAGCGAGCGCGACGTTTTTGTGCTATGAGACTACGGATGTAAAGGGGAATGATCATGTTACATGTGTGTGATTGCGTGGGTTGCGCTGATTCCCATGCTGAAGTTTGGATGTTGGATGTAAAAAGATTCACTGCTTCATCGATGTCATTGGTTGTCTTTAGGCGGACTTTTAGACTGGTTTTTTCCAGTATTGACTTATGGAAGTTATCCCAGTTGATATGAGAGTGTAATGGTGTTGGGTTGTG